CATTGTGATATGTTGAAACCTTCAGCACTTGGACTTCTTCATGCTCGATTACCCCTCTGATGAAATGCAACCTCACATCGATGTGCTTTGTTCGCTCATAATATGTTGAATTCTTAGACATGTGTATAGCACTTTGACTATCACACTAAACACTGATAATTCGACCTTGAAGTTTCAGCACCTTAGCTTCTGCTTCTTCTTCGACTTCAACTAGGTCATGCAAGTCGGCATCACTATGCTCTACCTCAACAGGAATCTCTTTTTGTTCCAGCTCTTCTTCAGAGATCTTTGAACTTTGACCAATGTCATCAGTTTTCTTGAAAGTCATCTCAACTTCATTGAAAACTACATATCGACTTGTGATACATTTCATGTGACCTGACTCTAGGCACCACAACCTATAAGTTTTGACTCCTTCAAGGTATCCAAGGAACATATATTTCAGAGCTATAGGTTCGACATTGTCTTGCCTAATGTGAGCATAGGCTTTGCAGTCAAATACTCGAAGTTTGTCAAGACCTGGTGGATGTCCCGACCAAACTTCTTCGGGTGTCTTCATATCTAACAATCGAAGGACATCTGTTTATCAGATATGTTGTTGCCGAAATAGCCTCTGCCCAAAACACATTTTGTAGCTCAACACTAGTCAACATGCATTTAACTCTTTCCAAAATGGTTCAATTAAACCTTTAAGCCAAACCATTTTGTTGGGGAGTACATGTAGTAGTTATGTGCCTTGCAATACCAGAGGCTACACAAAAAATGTTGAACGCCTCTTTGCAAAATTCAAGGTCACTGTCGATTTTCAATATCTTGACCTTTCTGCCAGTCTGATTTTCGACCAGAGTCTTTCAACTTTTGAAATTCTCAAAAGGTTCATCCTTAGTCTTTTGGATGAATACCCATAACTTTCTACAATAATCATCAAATATTGATAGAAAATACCTTGCTTCTGAATTTGACGGACACCTTGCAGATCCTCAAAGATCAACATGGATGTAATCAAGGGATCCATGTGTTTTTTGTTTGCCTTTATTGAACTTCACTCTGCAAGATTTTTCAAGTACACGGGGTTTACAAAACTTCAGTTTTTTTTGACTTTTTCTCTACCAAGTAGATTTTGTTTCCCCAATCTGACCAGACCCCTTTCACTGCCATGGCTTAATCTCATGTGCTAGATTTCTGTCTTCGACAAAGATTTCGTGGATGCAATATCTGTAGAACCACTTACAACTTCAGTCTCAATGGTATACAAGCTTTGTTTCTTCACGCTAGAGATGACCACATATTTCGTACCCACCCGAACCCCCCCCCCCCCCCTCCGAATTTGATGGGGAAAACCCGCTTTGACTGAGTTTGACTTCGGATTTGGGTTTTTTCCGATTACAAAATATATGGATGGGTCAGGTAATGAGAACACTAGTACCCACCCCGAACTCATCCTTGAGCCTGCCTCATATATTTCATTATGTATTTTATTATTTAGTTTTGATAATTTAGAATATTAAATATGTGATTAATTTTTTAATATTTTGATTTATATTTATTATTCAAAATATTTGAAATGTATGCCTGAGATTTTTTTAGATTGTTTTATTATTTTATTTGTAATGTAATTTGATTTTTGAAAAAAACAAATATTTCTATTAAAAAAATAATTCCACTAAATGGGCGATGGCGGAATGGGGATACTCGAACCCAACTCAAACCCGTTTGGGACAGTTTTGGATTTTAATTCTCCATCCTCGATGGGTTTGAGACGGGGTACGAGGATCGCTTTGTGATTCGAGCTTGGATTTAGGGGAGGTAAAAATTTTCCCCGATCCACCCCGTTGTCATGCCTACTTCATGTCTCTCAAGACTTCCTTCGACCCCTTCATGACTCTTAGGATACTTTTCTCTCCTTTGAAAACATATCCTTTCTTGTCGAATTCACCAAGAGAAATCAAATTTCTCTTCAAATCAGGTACATACCTGAATTCAGGCAACAACCTTATTGACTCATCATGGAGCTTGAATCTCACTCATCCAACACCTGCAATGTTGCATGATTTATTGTTTTCAAGAAATACAAATCCACCATCTTGATCACATAGTTTCTCAAATAAATTTTTGTTTGGAGTCATGTGCCAAGTGCAACTTGAGTCTATAATCCACTATTCACTTGAGTCGTCGCTTGAAACCACAAGAATATCATATGAGTCGAAATCATCTTGAACAATGGATGTGTTGCCATTATCCTTACCTCCATGATCTTTCAGGTGTTCGGGGCACACTTTTCTTGTATAACCTTCTTTCTTACAGTGATAACATCGAATACCAAATGCATCACCACTATAAGACTTATGCTGACTTTTACCCTTCTTCTTGTCAAACTTGCCATCTCTCTTTATGAACTTCGCCTTAACCGACAGACCTTCACTAGTTGAAAATGGTTTATACTCCTTTCGTTCGTTAAAATCTTTAAAATACAAATTTGATTGAACTTCTTCAAAGGTCAGAGACTTTCTTCCATACAAGAGAGTTTCTTTGAAATGAGCATGTGATTTAGGCAAAGCACACAACATCAACAACGTTTGATCTCCATCCTCGATCTTGACATCAATATTTTCAAGATCAATAATCAATTTGTTGAACATATCCAACTGCTCAGTTAGAACTTTGTCTTCACTAATCTTGAATGAATACAGAGCTTGCTTCAGGTAGAGGCGATTGACCAACGATTTGGTCATGTACAAACTTTCGAGTTTCACCCATAACCCTGACGTCGTCATCTCCTTCGAAACCTGTCAAAGAACCTTATCACCTAGACTTAATAAGATGGTGTTGTGGGATTTCTCTACCATAGTCATTTTTCTTTGTCCATTAACTTAGCGTCCATGCTTCAACGCTTCTAAACAACCTTGTTGAACCAGTAGGGCTTTCATCTTCAAGCACCACAGACCAAAATTGGTCACTCTGGTGAGCTTTTCAATCTCATACTTTGTTGACGACATCTTCTCCACGTTCACCGCACCAATTTATTGTGAAAAGAGATACCAGAATAACAAAGTATAATCAGTTTCTTAATCAATAAGAAACTCACAAAGGTAGAAAAAAGAGAAGCAAGAAGAACACGGTGAAATTGATTATAAACTGTTATTCTTTACTTTCTCTTTGAAACAAGATTACAAGTGTTACAGAATAGTTAGTAATCTCTCTAACCCTAATTAGGATTTGCATCATATCAAAGATGAGAGACTATCATGCTATTTATAGGGAAAAAAAACACTAACCTAATGGGCTTTTACACATAATCCCATTACACAAGTTAGCTTAAAAAATTGGGCATAACAAACAGGCCCAATTCGACAAGCTAACACTCTTAGCATAATTCGACTACAACATGTGAACAGACTTCGACAACATGCTAAGATCCTGTCGAATTGTCGAACCAAGAAGCTACCCTTGTAGATTTCTTTCTGATCAAGAAACTGATTATACTTTGTTATTCCAGTATTGTTTTTCACAACACAACCTTATGGTTTAGGTATTTAAAGAAGTATGTAGGTCTAGATCTCAGACTCTTAAGAAGTAGAAACCACTTCTAAGAGTGAGGGAATGAGACAGTTAATCCATAGTATTCATGAGAACATGGTAAATTCCTCGTTAACTCCCTTTTTACACCATTGTGGACTAGGACACATCACTTCTCAATTTCTCACAAACCGGGCGAGTCAATCAGGGAGTGAACATATTTGAGAAATGGGTGCCCATTATGATAAATGGGCGAACATGAAGTCTCTTACATGGAGGACATACCACCTCGCCCATCTTGAGAAACTTCGGGTGCTCTTGGGAGGACTTTCACACTTACCAATACAATGATCAAACTACTTCGCAAAGGTAAAATTAAATTTGTACCAACGTGTCACTATTTAGTCTAACCACACCATTATTTTACGTTAAGAATGAGGTGGCAATTTATCATCGTTAAATTGTGATGTTATGCCTTGTGAGGCTCCGCTATTGGATGATTATTTTGAATTGTGATATTGGTAGAATATTTGGATCGCGCCGTTGACTTATGTCTATGTCACTTTGGCATATTGACGTTGAATTATGTCACTTTTGAATATAGGTGTGTCGTGATTTGCATGTTTTTATAGTTTTTTCTAATTTTTCTCTTTTTTATGTTGCATCCCCATACTTTCTTCTTTATCATAACTTTTATAGTAAACCTATTTAAAATTTGGCTCATTAAGATAATTTTTGCATAGTTTGGTCTTTTCCACTATTCTTCAAATTCTTTATTAAAGCCTACAAAAATGAAAAACTGAATTAACACTAAAAAATACTTTAAAATAAAGTAATTTCATGCTAAAAACATCTTATGAGAAATTTTCATTAATGTGTATAAGTGATTTGTTGTCATGGAAAATGGTGACTAGGGAAGCTTGATCAATGCAAAATAAAAAAGATAAATTAACCATTGTTCCTCAAAGGCAGCATGAGATAGAGCCTTATATTCTTCCTATGAATAATATCTCGATACACTTTTAGCATTTTTGCTTTTGCAAGTGATGATGGAGGATCCAAATTAAAAGAAGTCTTATGGTATTTAGTTTAACAATTGAACTTTAAAGTTAGTTTTTAAAGAAATGATAGAAAATTATAGGTTATATCTTCTTTCAAAACATACAGTCTTATCATAAGTCACTGAACACCCACCACCACCACCACCACCCTCCTATTTTCATGGTATGGTAAAGCAATACGACCTGTTTAGAATTGCTATTTGTATTTGTACGCACTTTTGAAACAATGTGTATGAAAACAAGATTGCTAACAGGAAAAGTAAATGCATAAACTAAAATAACACAAGAATTGTTAACTCAGTTCGATACAAAGTCATCTACTTTTATATCCTCGAGTTTTATCTCTAGGATTCAGCTATTTCTCCCAAGTTATGTGCTCGGAGTTTATTGAACATCACTGGGCCAGATTAATGGTTTGGTTTATCAGAGTTCCTCTATAGTACTTCTACAGCTAACCAACTGCATGAGAACTTGTGTTGCTCTCATCCTCCCACTTGGACGTTCATTCTCTATCTTTTGGTTTCTGATATCTGCTGATTCCAAAGAATACCCGTCTAATGATTCAAAATTGGAGCTGGATCCGTTCTCATCAAACTTCCTTGCAGCAACATTTCCTGGATAACGCGTTTCACCTTGCTGATCCATTTCCATCCTATTCCTACTTGTCATCTCCACGGTCTGCGTCGAAGCATTAAAAGACTTTTCAGCAAACTCCCTGCATATTCTTGCCTTGTAAAGCTTGCAATCGCGTTGCGAATCCTTCATGGTGGAAGAAGGGGAGTCTGAAGCATCCATGCTATAACTGTTTCTTTCATTGGAACTTTTGGAGCTTGGCATTGATAATATTGTTTCATTGGATGTATAGCTTGAAGTTTCCATGAGTTGTGTTCCTTTGAGGACATATTCATGGCTGCTACTCGGGTAAATGAAATCGTTCTCGGATAAATCTTGCCACACATACCCGTTTCCGTAACTCCTGAATGAAGGATCGATCACATCACATAATTAGCTTTGTATGAAAAAACATTATGTAAGACCAATTATTACCTTTTGATTGACCAAGAATACATGCTGACGATTCCCTGTCCTCGAAGAAAACTCAACCTACTTATCACGTCTGATAAGAAAAACGGAGTAAAAGTTTATTTGGAAAGAAAATAAAGTGAAACTATGTGCAAGCCTATAAATCAAAGTGAGTTTGTCTGTGTTTTTTTATGTCATAACATTTTATTACCTTTAAGTCGCAGTGTTCCGTGTGAAGAAGAGATTGAAACATACATGAGATGAGGATGCTCAAGCTGTCCATTTCTAGAAAGGTAGTATATTATTGGAACTTCTTGATCAGCCTGAGTATGCTTGGAGTTTTCATGATTTGCCTCACTCTCCAATGTTTTCCTTTCCATGAAAATTTATTTTCTCACCACTACAGTCTACAGATTTGCTTCCTACTTGTGTGAAGACAGAAGTTATTATTAAATTTGGGAGATAATTGGCATATAAAAGTGAAATGGGGGCCGGGGGGGTCTGTTTGTTTGCATTTGATATATATTGCTACAAGTAGCATGGCATTGCTAAGATTTTGAAGGCAAGAAGTGAAACATGTCAATTATAGGGACCTTTCTGCTCACGGACCTAAGTGAGAAAATTGTTAATTTACTCAATGTATAATGAAGTCAAGAGCAAGGGAAACAAATGGACAAGTTTCCCAGCAAACAAGCTGAATATGCGGAAGCGATAGGACTTGCAAAAAGTTTAGTTAAAATTAGAAAGTTGAGTAAAAGGGTCAAAGGGCATTTTCAACCATTTGTTTGTTTTCATTCGTTGTCTTTTATGAGACAGAAAGAATTGTCGTATCAAGGAAATGATTATTAACTTGTTCATAAAACAAATTTGAAACAAAAACTACTATCAAACTGTGTACAAAAAAAAGACATTATATAGCAAGCCCTGGTTAGTGATCAGAGATGTGTTGTATTTTCTAAAATAATTTTTTAACATAAATGCGATCACTCATCATCTGATTTTGAGTTTGACATCACCCACTCATTCTAATTAAATACTACTACCAGTGGCGAAAAAGTCGGGCCATGAACAAAAACAGGTAAATAATCCACACGATAAGCCTTGAAGAATACTACCAAGTTATGGTACAACAAAAAAGAAAGCTTGGTAGGTTTAGTATTAGTTCACATCAAAATTGCCTAACCATTTGTGAACATATCAATAAAACTAGAATCAAACTGTCTTCATGACGAAACGATACAAAATTACCAATGTATGACATTGAGTTTTCCTACATACTTTAGATTGTAGTAGAAGTGACAATTTGCGGGTTTGGACATTCTGAGAGATTATGTCCTTTTTGACGACACCCGTAGCACATCCTATTCTTCCTCTTGCCACTTGCAACGACGGTGATTGGTTTCTCAACAATTGGTTCCTCAACTGCAACTGATTTTTCGCCTACAACTGACTTCTCTCCTGCACTTGGTTTATACCCTGCAAATGATTTTTCACCCGCACCTGGTTTAGAACCTGCAACTGATTTTTCACTCGCACCTGGTTTAGAACCTGCGACTGATTTTTCACCCGCGACTGATTTTTCACCCACGCCTGGTTTATAACTTGCAACTGATTTTTCAACTGCACTTGGTTTCGAGCCTGCGACTGATTTTTCACCGGCACCTGGTTTTTTATTCAAAGGAACTGCACAACTTATCCGGACAGGCCTTCCAAACAACACACTTTGATCCAATGCAAGTGCTGTCTTCAGTGACTTACTATCATTGAAATCCACATGAGCATACCCTCTGAATTCTCCTGTTTCCTTGTCCTTCCCTAATCGTATGGACTTTATATTGCAATTTGAGAAGAATTTTCTCAGTTCTTCCTCTGTTATTTCCCATGATAAACTTCCAGCGTATATTCTATTATATCCCTCTTTCAGTTCTGGAGTAAATCGGGTTGTTTGAGCTGCTTTATACGGTTGGATTTTAAGAAAGAGTCCTCCCCTGTTAACATTAGATGTTTTATAAGTATGATATGAGAAATGAGTAAAAACAGTGAATCATCTGTATACAAAAGAAAATCGCTAGTGTTACTAACATGTCAGATCCATCAAGAGCCAATGCTCGTTTGGCCGCTGCTTCAGTCTGCAATAGGAATGCCACAGAAACATTAGCAAGTTATCAAAATGCTCGATACCGAAAAAACCATTCTTCAAATTGCAAGTTGTTTTTAACTCTAAGTGAGAATAAACTTGAAAAACAATATATGTACTGATGGAAGTAGGTTTATGATATATTGCTAATAATATATAGCCTGCCGAATAAGGAAGCACAAAAAGAGTTTCAAGATTTGACTTGAAATTGCAAAATATGAAACAAAATAAAGAGTTAAAAATGTTTGTTTTAACCTTACCTTAAAATCGATTATTGCAATCCCTCTGAACTTGCCAGTGTCAGGAAAAGTCATGCAATTAATTTCAGTGATGGTGCCACAGCTTTCAAAATAACTATGAATGTCATCCTCACTTGAATAGTAGGGAATTCCTCCAACATAAACTTTTGTAGCAGCACCACTGTTTTCTTGACTGTATGAACATCAAAGAACATCTAATCAATTAAAAAACAGGGATGCAGATCTCAAATTGTATATCATACAAATCAATAAATAACGGAAAAAAAAACATTATTTCAGTTCACAAACACAACCTTTCTTTCCAACTAACAACCATGTCTGTTTCCATTAAGTGGGGACGGCTAGATGGACCAAACAGCGTCATAATGTTATGTCAAAACCAATGCTTCTATCCAACTCATTTATCTCAAAATTTCTTAGTTGTTTCTTAGTTTTTCTATGTCTCCTCTACCTCTAGGAGATTGACTACCACTATCTGATTTATTCTCCTTACTACCAAATCCACATGTTTCCTCTCTATATGCGCAAACCACCCAAGTCTAGTTTTCACTATCATTTCTACTACAGATGCTACCCTGACACTCTCTAATATTGTCATTTCTAATCTTTCTTTCCTTCACACTAAATCAATATTCAATTTTCTTCTATGAAAACTAAGCATGTGTTTGATTCCACTTTTCGAGTCTAACCACTTTTTTGGAGATAAAATTTGAAGCTTTTGCCTCTACAATTGATTTTTAGTTCGAAATCACCGTTAAACAAACTTTTACATGAATATATTCGACCATAAACCACTTTTTATCCCTACAATTGATGTATAGCATCAAGTTCATAACTCAACCAACTTTTACACAAACATATTCAACCATAACCCACACATTCAACTCAATTTTGGCCGGAATTCATACAAAATCAATATTTGTTTGTTACGGTCGAACCAAACACAAGCTAAATACAAATCCAACCATTGCATTGTTTTAGACAATTATCAAGTGATATTAAGAAAAAACACAATAATAAACAGACTCACCGGGTAGTGATATTGGTATTAGCCAACTCTGTGGTGAGCTCTGACATTTCCTCTTGATGATTAGAACCACTTCCCTCAGCAGCTGTGACCTCACCATTTTCCTCACCAGTTTTGACCTTGCCATTTTCCTCTGCAGCTTTAGCCTTCTTTCTCTTCTTCTTCAACAGATTCTTCTTCTTCTGCTTCTCCTTTTTCACCGACTGCTTCGTCACCTTAACAACAACCTCATCACCCACATCACCATTCTGTGTCTCTACCTTTACTTTCCCCTTCTTAACAACAACCTCATCACCCACATCATCACCATCATTCTGTTTCACTGCCTTTATCTTCCTCTTCTTATTGTTCTTCTTTCCCAAACCCTCAATCCCAATTTCCTTATCGTTTTTGGCTCCTTCATCTTCATTGGCTTGGGTTTGTTGCAAAGGTCGAATCTTTCGGAGTTTCTCTCTCTTAGACAAAACGGGTTTGTTGGTGGAAGAGTTTAGAAGAAGTTTGAAAGAGTTGGAAGATGAAGAGGAGGGATTCGATTCGGTGGTGATTTGGTTAAGGGTTAATTCAGCTCTAAGCTTCTGTTTAAGCTTCTTATTCGATAGAACCATTCTCAATTTCAACCTTTTTGAATCTAGTTAATCAGTTTTAGGGTTTGTGTTTCTGTTGGGGAAAACGCGAACACACAGAACAACGTAAACCCTTGTTTTGCCTGTAAGACCTGACGAGGGAGAAGACAATGTTTTGGGCCTTGGGTCAAAATAAAATAAAATAGAGAACTTCTTATCCCACCCCCATGGATTTCTTTTCCATCACGTGATTTTCTATAAATGTTCTCAGATTTTGGAGATATATTTTCGGATGTGTTCCATGACTTAATATTATTTCGGAGATATGTTTGGAGGACATTAAACCTTAAACGGTCATAGCATATCTCTCATAGCTCATTTCTATTTGAATTTGTTCGGAGATATATTTACAGAAATTTTTCAGAAATATATCTCTGAAGTGTTTTAGAACAGGTGTTTTTTAAAACGCATTGTGTATTTTTTTTGCAAATGAATTATAAAATAACACACACCAAAATAACATAACAATATAGTAATAGGATGTCATATGTCACGTAAATCTAAAATGTAATAACAATGTCAGAAAAAATGTACAAACTACAATACTAAAATAAAATAAATACAGACAACTACTAGGTGTGCTTGACAACCTCTCATCTTCCTCATGTGCCTCCTCTGTCTAGTCTGCCTCCTCAGCCATCGATTCCCCATGTCCTTGTGTGATGTTTGTGGTACAAAAGTGTCTCATGTGCCTCCGCAATAATGTCATCCAGTACTCGTCTGACAGCAGACCCCTTGGAAAAGATACCCTCGCAATGTCTGTCTGTGCCATCTCCATTATGCGATGACAATGAGCCAAGACATCCTCAGTATGATCCATCTAATACTGCTTCTCCTCTAGAATCTCTTGATGAGCGGGTCTCGACGGATTTCCTAGAGCAATCACACCATGTACAAATGTGAGACCCTGAAGCACCACCTGATGTATTCGTTGACGTAGCTTCAATCATTTGAAACTATGGTAGCCCTAGCCTCATCTGGTACTAGATGAATATGATAATCATCAAACATCTTCTCTATTTGTTTCGAGTCAAGGCCGGAGGAGAGACGCGCTCAGGAAGATAAGGAGCAATGATCGTCGACGAGCAGGCCAGTCATCCAGAGTATAACGATATGTCGTCAAATGGTCGCGTCTGACAGTGATCCACGTAACAGTTGAAGCGGGTGTCCTCATCAACCAAGCGATCAAGATAGACTCTAAAAGGCTTGACCGCATGGTTCCCTCTCAGCGGGATAAAAGCACAAACACAGGGCATCTCCTCAGTGTACTCATCCCAACACGACCAACCAGCGATGCGCGGAAAGTGCTGGAAGATCAAAGCCTGAAATAAAAATAAAAAGCGTTCAGTGATCAAGAATTATCGCAAATATGAAATATAAAAGATAAAAAATAATCAACGATAAAAAATTATTACCACAAGTAGGGTCGTGCTGCTTGTGGTCTGCCTTTTCGTTCACCGATATCCATCTCTCAGCTTTGAATACATATAGGTCAAGCAAGTCACCCCCCAATTTTACTCATGGATCCGTGTGAGATACAAGAAGTACCGGAGGTATGCAACGTTAGTGTAAGTGGCACTCGTATCCACAAAAAGCACAGTGTCAACTAAAAATAGAAAATAACATCTCAAAGCATGACTCCTGTAGATCTCCACCTCCTGGGCATCACCATCAGCCTATGCTGCAACAACGAGTGCCTCATGAAATCTCTCCTTCAAGAACGAAAACCTAACATGAGCACCCCTAGTCTTATCTACCTCCCTTAGCGCCTTCACTGGATCATCCCTCAGATGCTCCACCATCATATCGACCACCTCGTCTTTGGTTATTCTACCATGATGGAGAAATCTCCCTCTGATCGGTAGATGCGACAAACACGATAAACCATTCAGTGTAATCGACATGTCACTATGCGGGAGATAAAAGGAAGAGGTCTCAGAGTGTCATCGCTCCACGAGTTATCCAATCATCCCGTGGTTGACCAAAGTGTAATCGGTCAAGCATATGTCACTCAACCAAGAAGCGGTGGGAACTAACTGAAACCATTCTACTTCAAGCTGATGCAATGCTAAAATCTTCCGCCCATGGTTCAGAAACTTCTGGAGATCTCGCACCTGCAAATTTCTAGAAATAATCAATGTCAGCAAAATCAATGTTAGAAATAATCAATGTCAGTAATTTAAATTAATGTAAAAAATAGTAATAATGTGACTAATGTTACCTCTCCGTCCTAGATATGTCTGGCTGTATGGTCTGGGTGCAAAGGAAGTAGGGACATATCAGATGGATCCCCTTCGAAAGCCTCTAGTTCGACATCAGCAACATCACCCTCCACAAGTGGCACCGATGCATCCTGATCAGCAGGTGCGACTGGGTCAACAGTAGGTGGCACCAGATCAACAGGAGGTGGCGCAGGTGCATCCTGTCGCCTGCGGTAGAATGTAGGAAGTAACACGTCAGCTTTTGCATCCTGTTTTCTGCGGGAAGAAGATGAAGAAGGTGGAGTGGGCTGAGACGTAGATGGAGTGGCCTGAGATGTAACTGGAGTGACCTGAGATGTAGATGGGATGACCTGAGGTGAAGGCTGAACCACATGAGTGGACTGAGCCTCAAGAGTAGACTGTACACCAGAAGTCAATGTCTCTCCCTGACTAGAGGTACATGCTGCATCCGGACTCGGCTGGCTCCGCTCTTGTCTAACGGATGTGTGCTAGGTAACCCGTTCATGTCTCAATCGGTCGGCTCTATCAGCCATTATGCCTGCAAAATATAATATAATTAATCGTACATGAGTTTATGAAATAAGAAAAATTATAAAGCAAAAAAAAAAAAAACAGACTGAGAAATTCCAGAGATACATCTCCGGAAATATTCAATGTCTCATGTACTATATGTGATTCCAGATATACAACTATGAAAATATTCAGCATATGTATCCCTAGAATCACCCATAGTACATGAAATGTTGAATGTTTCTGGAAATGTATCTTCGGAATATTCTACAACTCAGAGGTCACACCAATGGTGTTCTCTGTCCTTCAGAATCACAAATTTGAAGTCCTGATCGTCCATTTGAGCTAACAAACAATACATCCAGTTACTCTAAATTATGTTTCATCTGATTTCTAAACATTTGTTTTTAGAGATGTATCTTCGGAATATTCTACAACTCAGAGATCGTGCCAATGGCGTCCTCTGCCCCTTAGAATCACAAATTTGAAGCCCAGATCGTCCATTTGAGCTAACAAACAATACATGCATTTAATCTAAATTATGTTTCCTCTGATTTCTAAACATTTTGACACCTAACAATGGGTTTAACTCGTTTACAACAAAACTCAAATATTTATCGGAAACTCGAAAAACTTACTGGATTATTCGGAAGATGTTGAATGATGCATTGAATGCAACTTGATGATTACTTAATCCTCAGACGGAAGAAATCAAATTTGGTGAAGTTTGGGAAATTTGGGAATCAGAGAGATGAAGAGGTTTATGAATAGAGAATGAAAAAGTGTGGGAGGAGAAGAGTTTGGCGTGACAATATGCTCCAAATTGTTCCGGAGATATATCTCCGGAATATTTCAACGTTCAATTGATCTTTGGTATGTCCAGAGATATATCTCCGGAATCGCTTAACATTTAGTTAAAATATGGTGCATCTGGAGATATATCTCCGAAATATTTCAATGTTCAATTGATCTTTGGTATGTCCAGAGATATATCTCCGGAATCTCTTAACATTTAGTTAAAATATGGTGCATCTGGAGATATATCTCCGGAAACTAGGGGAATCACAGAAAATTCACACAGTGTCTAAGAAATACATAGGGTGCCTTAAGAAATTCTCATAAAATTGGTACTATTTTGAGCTTTCAAAAATTTCAAAATATTTTAGAGCATTTCTCTTTCCGCGGTTATACGTGCATACCGCATTCTTGAAAATACAAAATTGCATTTCATATGTTTTGAGATGTATCTTCAAACGTATCCAAATCACAATCAAATTACGCTATTCTAATAGTGACCTCATTTTTGAACAAAATATGATCCTGAGGTGCATCTTTGTATGGTATTTGGGTGTATTTGGAGATGCATCTTAGAAATGTCCCCTGAAAGTTTTTGAAAGTGTGGTAAATGCAAGAGGAAATTATTTCAGAGATACATCTCTAGAACCCTTGAGAGAGGTACATTGTCCAAAAATTGTAATTTTTGTGATGCTAATTTATACTAATGTAAAATCAAAGTAAAATAAAGTTATATTAAAGTTAAAGGAATATAAAAAATCATGCATTAATAAAAAAAAGTCAAGATCGTACATAACATTTGTTCAAAAATATATTTGAAAATAGAAAAAAAAATAATACAATCAAATATAAACTATTGGGTATGTCTGACCCCCTGCCTTCTTCGTCGCATGTACTACACGACATTCTGTAACTTGACAACCATGTGCTCTACGATGGACAATTGGGTACTGTTATCCTCAAAGAGTCCTGACTTTATGGTTGCTCTACCCATCTTTGTAACACTCTATTTTTCTGACTCGCAAAATAATACAATAATTCAAAATATATTTTCACCCAAGGATGTCACACATTCTCAAATAAAACATTGTTATTAAATTAAACAGTTTGCAGCGAAAAAATGAAACATTCAACAACACCTTCACAAAGTCTCATCAATTAAAATTACTCAAATATCATCAGTTTTTGAAATGAACACAATAATTCTCCAAATAAAAGAAATAGTGCCTCATCCTTTGTGTTACAATATCAAAGCGACACAAAGAGTATTAGACAAAACGGAAAATAGAGAAGAAGGCTATGACCATCGTTTTTCCACACACATCAACATTACATGCTACCTGTATCCGCAACATGGGCATAAAATTCATGTCATACGCTTCTTGTCAATTGCCTTTTTGAGTCGCCTCTGATACAACTATCCATGGTACAAAGCGGTCATACGCTTCTCGTTAA